ATCCCGCCCCGGGGGCCAAGGGAGGATGCTGCACCACGGCCACGGTCAATCAGGTGGCCACAGGCACTTTCCCTGAACTCAAGCCCTGGAAGGGGACCCAGAACAGGGCTGGACAGGAGGCAAAGCTCTTCTCTCTTTTCTCACAACGCAGCAGCCCAGCCCTGCTACAACCCATTGCTCCTTATTTACCCTTCAAACAGAAAAAGCAACTCTCAGCTTAGCTCTTTTACAGATTTTCTACATCAAGCCTCACTAAAGGGCTGCTTTAGTTAACATTAGGCTCTTTAACTCCGAGCACACATCTCACAGGTGACAATTTGCACTAGGACTCCGGTGTGGTTTCCAGGACAGATGTTCACCAGGCTGTATCCCTGAATTTCAAAGGTAGAAGTGGGTTCCCAGCCCCCAGAAGCCCGGTGCACAGGGTGGCAGGTGCCCGTCCCGTCCATCGGGGCTGGCAGCGGGAGGGAGGGGGGCAGATGGACTCACTCGGGTAGGAAATAGTTTACGCTCTAAATTACAACCACTCCCCATTTGCGTGGGTGAAGACGCTGCAGGATTTGGACAAGTGGAAACATTTCTGTTCTTAAATTAGTCGTTCCCAAACCTGGCCACTCTGCCCAGCTCAGCAGCACTCTACTTCTTCCCTTCCCTTTCTTGTTTTAAGGAGGATGAGCTTGTTCCCGCAGATTCCTCTGACTGGGCAAGGCCAAATCGCAGCTTCTCTTCAGATGGCATTTTGCAGCCCCTAATATTCGAAACCTGCTTTGCATAATCCCAGAAGGAAATCGGAAGGAAATGCAGCAAAGCCGTGACTGAAAATGTGCTCCTTGAGCTGATCACAATAGAAAAGTGTGATCTGTTACTGAGAAAAGGGCATGAAAAAGGAGCGCACAGGGCAGCAGACAGCCACTGTGAAGAGTTCAGGGGCTTAAAAATGAAGCCAGCTCAATCAGTGCAGCCTGCTCCAAAGCACAGGAGCCAGGACTTCAACATCAGGGTGGGACCAAGCACGTCCGCCTGATAAGAATTTATACATCTTCGGTGACCTCTTAGTTATTACAAATATGCCTAAACGTAGCAATTATTTTTTCATCTAATACCTGCCTGGGTTTGGTGGGTTACAGGTGTGCTTTATGACATTTCCTTCTTTTTCCTCAGGGTGACCCGTGACCACTGACCACCCCCTCGGCTGGGCTGTCTCTCCCCACCACCATGCGCGTGGCAGGTAAGGAGGGAGACAGAGATTTACTTTTCTCTGTCCATTTTTCTACAGTTCTTTATGCCTCCTCCTCACTTACGTGTCCTCTTCCAAGCCCAGATACCCTGACCTTCCCCTGCCAGGGCCATGGGAAAGGGTCTTTGTATAAGCATCAGGTTTTTAAAAGATTTGTGTAGATTTCAGCCTGTTGTATTTTTCCCAGTGAAACCCTCTGCGGCTGGGAAGAGATGGCTATTGAGACGTTCCTCGTTCCATAAGAGCCATTCAGCTGCAATATAAGTATATTTTTCTACTCTCTTTCCATGCAGGACTGGAACGTTTTGCTCCAGTGAGTGCTGCTTTAAAGCCAAATGCCAATCACATTTGTATTAGCAGCTGCTCGGCTGTAGCTAGTGACTAATTGGGGGATAGCAGCCTTCCCAGCACTGGGAATGTAAGAAATATTTGGATTTACATTTCTGACTAATTTATTTTATTTATTTATTTACTTTCTGACTAATTATCAGATTTACTTTAATGCAGAGAGAAATATGAATAGTGCCTCCCAGTAGAAGTGTAATGCCTATCCGAGCATTCCCACACGCTCTAGAGATATTAATTAAGAGACCAGAGTCTTTTTTAGCGGAGGAAGGAAGGAGCGTTAGCTGCCTTCCCACGCCACCCAAGCACTGGCTGACACCCTGTGCCTTGGTCCTGGACACACTGACCAAGCCCCCAAGAAGCCAGAAGGACGCTCCAGTCCCCAACCCGCACTGCTGCTGCTCTCACCTGGCTCCTCTCCCACCCCTTGCAGGCTTGATCCGGTACACGGCAGTGTTCATCGCGCTGCTGAGCACTTGGTTCATCATGCAGACGTACTTCGATCGCAGATGGAAAGCCATCAGCCTGCGGAGCTGGCTCGGTGAGGCACTGGCAGGGCTCCAGCCGGGTCCGGAGGGAGGGTGTGGACGGCCCCATTGTGAGCCAGACCCCAGAGCTGCACACAGTTGCCATCAACATTTGCATTCCCTGGCCAAGGCTATAGCCACCAGCTCTGATTATCAGGGCACGGAGGGGACAGCATGCTGGGAAGCTGCACCGGGGCGGGTGGCTCCAGGGGTGCTTGCAGCCACAGGGAGCAGTTTTGGAAAGCCAGTGCCTGAATGGCTGGTCCTGGCTTGGGGAAGAGTCAGCAGCTCTCCAGGGTGTCTAACCTTCCTGCTTTGGTACCCACAGGTGTCACCAACAAGCCCAGAAGTGAGTACCACTCTCAACTACAACACACAACACCGCTCCAGGGCTGAGGGTGATGGCGCAAGCACAATAGCCGCCCTCGAGAGCTCCTTTCCCAAACTCCCAAATTCCCAGGGGAATTTTGTTATTGCACACAGCAGCAAAGTCTTTGGCAGGCTCTGCAGGCACACGAACCTTCACAGGATCCCCCACCCCAGCAGAAACACCCCCGGGCCACAGGCTAGAGCAGGAAGCAGGTCGTGGGCCCACCCAGGCAGCGTGGCACAGGTCCCTACCCTGGCCAAGAATGGGGAAGCTCCGGGTAGAAAAGCCGCAAGGGGCTGGCCTTGAACGAGCGCCAGCTGCAAATGCTCCCCGGCAACACTGCTCTGCAATCCCCACGGCACCAGCCGTGCCATCCCGCTGCGCACACCCAGAGCGGCACCCGGCACCCCAGCCAGCTCATCCCACCCCACCCCACACCTCAGCACCATAAACCTCGAACAAGACGATGGTCCCAGTCCCAGGACAAGCCTCCTGGGTGCAAGAAGGTGTCCCAGGCGTTGCCCCCTTAGTGGGCTGCTGTCCCCCAGTGCCAGCCCTGCTCAGCCCCTCAGGGACACAGCTGGTGTCCCCCCATGGTGCCAACACCATGGCTTGCAGCTCCGCTCCTCCCTCGCAGACGAGCAGCTGCCCCGGCATAAGTGTGGGAACAAGAAGAGCTGCCCTGAGAACCATTTTGCCTTCAAGATCATCAGCGGCGCCGCAAACGTGGTGGGACCCTCCATCTGCTTCAATGACATGATGTAAGCAGCACACGGGGGGGGGACGGGGCAGCCGCGGCTGGCCTGGGCTTGAATAGGGCAAGTTTGGCCTCTGCCAAGTACATCAATGGCCATCACAGTGCATTTGTGGTTAAAAAAATTTGGAAAGAGTTTTCTTTGCTACCACTTCTGGGGGCATTTTGCAGTCTGCAGCCACATGTTGCCCCATCACACTGTTTCACTGGCACCAGCCTCCCCAGGGCGTCCCTGCACTGACTGGTGCTCTCTGCTTTCCTTTCCAGCCTCATGAGCAGCATGAAAAACAACATTGGCAGAGGCCTGAACATTGCCCTGGTGAACGGTGAGTTGGGTGGGCACTAACCACCTCCCCACAGCCGGGTCCCTTCCTCCCCTGGCAGGACACAGGCCACCGGGGACCCCGTCCCAGGCACCGCAGCTGACCCAAAAGCACATCAGTCTGGTGTTGCATGGGGTGCACAGCCACATTTATGGTTGCAAGCACTGCCAGGGAGATGGGAATGAACCCACCGGGGTCATGCACGACAGCTCCATGAACTCCACCAAGCAATACATTCACCATCTCAGCAAATAGGACACCCTGAGGTTAGAGCAAAGCATTTTGCAGCAGCAGGAACCCCAAGCTGGAGGCCAGGTAAAGCCTAGAGCCACCCCAGTGTAAATTCACTGTGTCTGTTTTGAATTTTAACCTTCCAGGAACAAGCGGGCAGCTCCTAAAAACTGACACATTCGACATGTACTCTGGAGGTAAGCACGGTCGCTTTGCTGGCTGGCGGTTCCCAGCCAGGGCTCACACTGGCACCAACGGCTGCCAGCCATTTAGGCTCCTCCTCTGTCATGTATTTAATGATAAAGTCTAGTGGACTTTGGCCAGGATTGCCAGCTCGGCTTTCCCTGAGGCCATTGAGCCTGGAGTCCTCGTAATGCATTTGCATCCAGATTGGCTTCTTGCTTCTTTTACGTGCACATAATAGCCTGAAAAACGTAATTCCACTAAACTGAATAAACCAGGGCACTGGAGACCTGAGAAAGGCTACTTTTGAGATCAGGTAGTTACACTAATTGGGAGATTTTGCAGCTTTCAAGTCAGGTTTTAAATGCTGGTGCTGGTTGAGCAGCAGCTTATTCCCCTGCCTTTTGCAGGAGGGTAAATGAGGAGCTCAGGGCAGGGGGAGCAGGGCCTGGTGGCAGCAAAGACCATGTCCCTGTGCCTGCTGGCTTCAAACAACCTTCCTAACAGCAAGAAGATGCCCTGAGCCGGGGCAGCACCCACTCACAGCCCAGCTGGCACCAACTTGCAGGATGCTGTAAATCCCACCGTTGTTGCAAAGCTATTACCAAACTCTCCAGAGGTTTGGCAGGAGTCCTCAGACTCACATGCTAAAACCACCCCTACAGTGTTTTTGATTTACCTTTGCTGTTCGAGCCTTCCCCAGGAATGAATCACCCTTTCTGCTTTTTGGGTTTGCAACCTATTCTTGGCAACTCTGGAGTTTTAAGGAGAAACACTAATATTATGAGATTTCTGTCCAAGTTTGCGAGCGAGATGTGCAGTGGGAGAGGCACCGGGAAGGAGACAGCAGTCGGCTCCTGTGCCACTAGATGGGGCGTTGGACTCGAGCATCCCAGGGATGAGGGATGAGGAATGAGGAATTATTCCTGCAACACAGCCGACGGCAGCATCACAGGGCAGACAGCTCTGTGGCTGAGCAGGCTCATTTCTGGTGTTGGGAAGTAAATTCACATGACGAGATTTCACAGTTAGCGAGCAAACTTTCGGCACAAATTCCACCCTGCAATTGTGCCCGCAGGAGGAAAGCGCCAGCCCTGCACACTGCAGGAGAGCCCAGGTGGGAACACCAGATGGGGATTGCGGCATCTCGGAGCCCATCCTTCCCCAAGCCCATGACCCTGAATCCTGGCTAGCACCAGCACAGCCAGGATGCTTGCCACCGACCCAGAGGAGGTTCCCCCAGCTGCCATGCAGCTGTTATACCTCTTTTTCTTT